CTATGTAGGTGACAGCTGGTAACTGTGCAGGGGCGGGTCTAGCAAAGTGTTGCCAGGGGTCCATGTCGGGCATTAACAGGGAGAGGTGGGAGAGGAAATACTTTTCTTTCTTATTCTCATTTAAAATGTCTAGCTTTTAATAAATAATTATCTGAGTCTTACAACAAACGATTGATAGATTGATACATATATACCATCCAAACAGTGTACATCACTGTCACAACAGTGTTTATTTTCATTCAAAGGCTTTATGCTTTTTCCTATATTGGTGGGCCGTTCTCTAGTCAAAAGGCCGATATTTTGTCCCAGTGACGTAGGCTAGAATCATGGCGGCGGTAAATGGCGGTCCAGGTGTGGGATTTCTCTCGTGAAAATATGCACATTATTTTTTTCCTTTCTATTGGTAGGTGGCACAGTGCACTTGTGGCAAGTAAGCAAGCTAGAAGACTGGCAGTCTGGCTGGGTATCCAGTTACAGAAGCAACACACTAACAAGAGCAGTCTGAGTAAAACCAAAGTTACTTTCCCTATTACCTAGTTACTTTGAAAGTAACGAGTAACATGAAGTAACTGAGTTACTTTTCATGGAAGTAACTAGTAACGTAACCAAGTTACTAATTTCAAGTAACTTACCCAACACTGATTATGAGTCTGTGGTCTGGGAAAGAGTCCTGTAACTCCCTGTCTGCAAAATACAGTAAATAAACTGCAAACAACAATTTATTTTGCAGCTGTTTAACTAAAAATGCAGCCAAGGCGTTTTTTAAACAAACATTTTAAACTATTTACAGAACAATCAGCTGTTCTGCATCAAATTTGATTCCACACAAATTATTTGTGCCACTCCAAAAAATAATTTCTGTCCACTATGAGATAAAGGAGAACAACAGCCTGATACCTGCAGGCCTGACAACAGGAGATGTATCACTGCTGTAACATTCAGCAGTCGCCTCATTGTTCTGACACAAACAACAAAACTATTGACTACACTACACACTAACTACACAACATTTGCGCTAAACGTTGCAAATGTCTCACATCTCAAAACACCGCCGTCACTCCTAAAACTTCCTCCTGTATCTTAACAACTAAATGCCATGTTTTGATTGGTCGACATGGTACATTTTTCCAGCAATGGGAAACGGTAGGGGGTGTATTGGTTTTGTCTTTACTCACAGGCGGAGAGTGTGTTCGAGCGTTTTCCTTAAAAAAAAACACAGTTTTCAGCGTTTCTTCCCACAGTAAATATGAACAACGTAGTATCCAGGAAAACCAAACATTGCATATTTTTTTTATCACAACTCTGGTTTTTCGTGGCCTGTCAACACAATTTAAAAACTGGTGTAAAGTCCACAAGTTTTCCATCAATTGTTCTGTCTGTCCTGCTCACATCTCCAGTGGTTGTACACGTTGTCATTAACGTGGCTTCACTCCACATCAGCCCCTTTGCTAGCTAAAACACCAGTGTCACATATTTACTTTCATTTCAATTCAGGTTAGAATCTGTGCACAACGCACATTTTTTCTGCGCAGAGACCATGCCAACAGTGCACTATTGCGCACGCGCGCAGCTTAGAGGGAACATTGCGTGACATTCTTAAGCAACATCAGTGTCTATATTCTGTGTGTGTGTGTGTGTATATTTCCAGCTATACCATACATAGACATACAACCTTTCCATCCATCCATTTGCTTCCGCTTATCCTTTTCAGGGATGCGGGGGGCGCTGGAGCCTATCCCAGCTGTCATAGGGCGAGAGGCGGGGTACACCCTGGAAAGGTCGCCAGTCTGTCGCAGGGTCACATACGACCTTTCAATTAACTTAAACTGTGTGTATGAGGTATGAAGAAAAGCAGAAGTAAGCGTCTTGCTAAAATATAAAAACATGAACTTGCAGTAGGACATTTAAAGGTGTGAAGTCTTACACTTTAAGATAACGAACAAGACAGTCTGGTTTCTACAGCTAATGGAAATTATAACGTCAAGGCTGCTTCCGCTCATCTCATGGTGCACAAGTGCACACAGACTCTTATCAGACCTAATAAGGATAGGATACGTTATCGGCATACAAATGATTATATATTTCTAAGCATAAATGACAATACAAAAAATATCAATTCCGACATTGCCCACAGTACAAGATACTGAAAAACAAAGACTCACTGAAAGAAAAGAAAAAAAAAGAATAAATGGCTAAAAATAATGGCTGGCTATTTTACAAAGGATATGAATCTTCAAGAAACATCAACCTGCCGTTGCTGTACACGACTTGTTTGCATGGGTGCTTGGTTCAGCTGGTGATTCACCATTTAGCCAATTGGGCCACTTAACAGTTTGACTAAGTTTCTGTTTCTTACAGATATCCAAAACACAACACTAAAGAAAAAGAAAAACAGATTCAACAAATGCATGACAAAGGAGAATCATCATGGTTTAATCGCTGTGAAAATGAGAAACAAACATGAATATTGCTGGTGCCCCTTTTTGCACACAGCTTAAATACATCATAATAAAGCTTTGAATCAACACTGTTCTAAGATATTTATAACATTCAACATATTTCACAATGTGAGCTTTAACTGAAGTCTAAGAGAAATGATTTTGTGTATAACTACAATATATTTTATTGTAGTGTCTTTGCTTAACAATATCTTCAGCTTTTTTCTTCTTATTGGCAGCTCCCTCTATTATGGTTGAGTATGCCTGCAATTGACTTTTCATTGTGGATTCAGTGTCAATGAAAGTTATCTAAAAGAAGGTTGTTGATAGGTTTGTAGCTTGAACCTATTCGCTGGAACGTTGAAGACAATATAATTACACAGCAAGCAAGACACGAAGTAGGCAAAGTTCTTCATGTTTGTCGTGCACGGGAGAGAACCGGACAAACGCCGTTCCTTCGCTTGACCCCAGTCGCTCTCGTCCGCTCCCCCGTAACACTGCTCTTTTATTGAGGTTACATGAATATGCATAGGTTCATTAACATATGACGTCTACATACACACAAAGAGTACCTTGCCTGTGTGTGTGTGTGTGTGTGTGTGTGTGTGTGTGTGTGTGTGTGTGTGTGTGTGTGTGTGTGTGTGTGTGTGTGTGGGGTCAGAGTGTGGCCCCATAAACGACTTCTCTTAACCTGCTGGTCTGGAAAATCCAACAGTTCATCTATATGTAAAAAAGCACTTAGACTAAAACTGACATAGCTACGTTAATCCTACTGTAAAACAATAAAACAAGGTACGACCTCTTCCCATGCTCCCAGGATGTAGGTGTGCACCAAGCCTTTGCAGCCTGCTAAAGATCACACGTCCTATCACTACACAATTGATTATACACCTCTAAGCATATATGGTTAAATATTTCTAAGCATAAATGACAATCAACAATACAAAACCTAACAGTTGTTCAACCACAGAAAATGACCTTCACAAATGAAATTAATCACGAGCTTGTCAACCTTCGCCTGTAGTACTTGTATGTTTGCACCCACTGTGATCACATCACTGATTTTTGTTTTCTTCCTACTCAGATTTTATGTTTTTTGTCTGAATTTAGATTAATTGTGCTAATAGAGTATGTCAAAATGAAAAAACAATCCCTTTAAATTCAGACACGTGATGTATTGCTGTAACTCAAAAGCTGGGTCCAAGACCCAGAGCCCTGACACCGTGAAGGTGAATAAATGGACTCTTGTCCTGAATCACTGCTTGTGAGTGTGTCGGCTCCTTGTCACAGTGTACTACATAAAGGTAGACTCTAGCTAAATTGTTTGGTGCTGGTAAAGATCATTATGAGGTCAAGCTCATCATTATTTTTATCCTTGCATATGCATCCAATGACCGCTCTAATGTAAGTCACATATAGCATGCTGTGTCAGGTCTTGGGATTGTGCTTGTAAATCTATCCAGCTGCTGATAACTGGCAGAGTTTATAATCTTGGCATTTATTTTCACATCAAATCTAGCGATGTCTGAATTCATGAAGCAGTTATTTTTGCTTTATGGTGTGTTCTACTTTTGTAATAATGTGTTGCAATGACAAGCATCAACCTCTGAAAGAGAAGTACGTGAAACGTCTATTCTGAAAAAATAAAGAGTTTATTTCAATTTGAAAAACTTGTTGCATAATGATGACCTCTGTAGCATTCACAGGGAACTGATCTTCAATATACAGAGCTGTTGTAGCTGCAGGTTTTTCTCTTTTGTTAACAAAAAACAAGCCGCAAGTGCTGTAAAATATTTTCTTCTAGATCAGCATCTTTTTGTTGGGAGAGCAGTTTTTACTGCATCTTTAACTTTTACAAACAAACGAATCTAAAAATACACCTCGGATAAGAACTTCTGTACTACACATAATCTGAACAGGTAACAGAAGGCCAAGAATAAGCTGTAAGTCTAGTCTAACGTTCTGCTGCTGACAAATAAACTTTACATAACTGGAGCTAAAAGTAAAAATATAATTCTGTATGCATCAGCATCACTCTCCACTGTGCTGTTTTTTACTTTCTGTTTCCATCAGCTGAGTCCTGTTTATGGTTTGACTGCATCTGTACAAAGTAACAGAGTTTCTGATTAGATCTTCTCAAAAATTAGATGGTGAACTTTTGCTTGAAGGTTGGCCTGATGTTTCCATCCAGCAAACTCAAAACAGATTGTCATGGATACAATCAGATTTCTTTATAAAATGTGGTCAAATGTTTTTACAGAAATTAACTTTTCTACTAAAAATCCATTTGTAATAAACTACTAAAATATTTACAATAGCATGGATAATGATAGTATATTAAACAAAGTAAGATATTAGACAAGATGTTTCAACAACATCCATTCAATTCTGACACTGTCTCTATCTCACTCTCACCTCCATTGTCTCCATAATTTCATTTGATTCAGCTGTAGAGCTCCAAGGTGTCTTCTTGCTAATAACAAATAATCACATTTTGAATGTAAAACTATTAAATTAGAAAGTCAAAGACCACTTCTGCAACAGAGCAATGTTTTATTTTACCTCATCCACAAAATCACAAGAAGCAGAGGAATCAGCATCAGGACCACCAAAGTTAATCTGATAATATTCTGTATTATTATTGATTCCCCTAAAAAAAGAGATAGAAATTTGATGTGATTGAGAGAGAGCATACACTTTGTTTTTGAAAACCTGGAGAGGAATCTTATTTTCTTTGTAACTGTTTTTTTAGTAATGCATCAATGAAAATTGTTGCAATAAACAGACTTGTGAATGTAGAAAGAGCACCTGTCACAACAGTGAGATGATGGGAGGTGGAGCTGCGACGTCCTCTTGTGTTCTGGGCTTCACAGTAATAACTCCCACTGTGTTCAGGTCTGAAGTCAGTGATGATGAAGTTCTGTCCAGATGCTTTTGCTGAGTCATCATCCTCCTTGTACCAGGTGTAGTTAGCTGCTGGGTTAGCATCACTGCTACAGGTCAGAGTCACTGAACTGCCCTCCACTAACTCACCAGAGGGACTGACTGACACAGAGGGAATCTTTGGAGCATCTGGAGGAAACCGAGAAAAATTATTGTGAAATTTTTACAGCAACATTTTAATATTCAGTGTGAGAAAATTTCCACCAAGAATAAAAACATGACAGGAAACTGTTAATTACTGATATAATGATCAAATGATGTGATATGATCATAATTCATATGAAAATAAGAATTCTTATAATACTATGATATTAACTATTATCATAATTTGTGCTATGTGTGCTGTATATATTATATTAGAAATACGTTCAATATTATTTGTGCAGATTATATCGGTAAGGAAGCTCAAATATTGATCGATAACTTAAGGTGAAAGGGGCATTAAAGAAGTGTGAACTTCTAACAACTCATTTTTGATATTTAGCTGAATCAGAAAAGGTGAAGCGATATTGAAATGTAGTTGCGTTATTTGTATAGCCTTTTCTATTCTTTGCTCAGTGAACTTCTGTGTATTGTTTATATGATGGAAATAAATTGAACACAACTCCCAGCTGATCACTGATCTGCTGCTGTTTACTTACACTGGACATCTATGAATAAAGACACAGAGAGCTGATCCTCAGTCTTGCAGTCGTAGATGCCTCTGTCCTCAGAGCTGATGGACGCGAAATTATAAATACCTTCTGGTGTTAGAGGCAAGATTTGGTTGCCTTTGTACAAAGTGTTCTTAGCTGCTGGATTAGCATGTGTGCGACAGGTCAGAGTGACTGAACTGCCCTCCACTATCTCACCAGAGGGACTCACTGACACAGAGGGAAGCTTTAAAGGATCTGGAGATAAAAGATTTCTTTATTAAAGTTGGCGTTTAAACTCATGTAACATTACAGCATGATAAACTGTAGCTGGCTTGGAGCTGTGATATGTTGTTGGTGACACAGTGAATTAAACTCACACACTGATGGAGAGCGGTAATCCTCGTATCCAGAGAAAGCACAGGAGATGTTGTCTCCAGGATTAAAGTAGTCTGTATAAGCAGAAGTTTGCTGTGTCGTGTTTTTCTGTCCGTTCTTGAACCAGACGTAAGAAAGACGACCAGCTGGACTGCAGCTGCTTTGACACTTCAGCTCTGCCTCAGTCTGAGTCCGCTGGACTGATATTATTCTGCTCACCTTCACCTGCAGAGCTGAATATGACAGCACAGCAGTGACATCATGTAGAGAGAGGCTTTATGTGTGGATATGTAAGTCTACCTTTGATATCTGAGATCACAAAAACAAAAACCTGCTAACAGTGTGTTTTCTTCAGTACCTGCGACACTCAGAGTTGTTCCAGGTAAACTACTCTTCCATTCAAAGCTTTGTGTTTTGAATTTAAAGTGATACTCGGCTGAATCCCTCTCTGTCAGGTCTCTGATTCTCAGAGTGGAGCGTCCTCTCTCTGTTTCAATGACCTCAACACGACCTGCATAGTGGGAGTCTGTTCTGAGGTCCTCGGGGTGTGAGCGATGCTGCCACTGATGACTACGTTCAGGACTGAACCAGAATTTGGACACAGCAGGATGTGTATGACTGTAGATGCAAGAAATGTCCACTGATGAACCTTTGAGGGCACAGATGCTTCTGCTGGTGTAAGTCACTGTGTTACAGGTTTGATCACCAACACCTAAAATATATGAAACAGATTTGTTAGAGGAAGATTTGACTGCAGCACCACAGAGCAGGAGGCTGTTGGGACTTATTGTTGATTTATTGGCTTCACTGAGATTTAAAATAAACATGAAGATGCAGCAACATCTTTTTTATTAGAAACAGAAATGAATGATGTTTTGTCAGTGTAAGACTGAAGTAAACTCACACACTGAAGGAGAGGGAAGCTTCTCGTATCCTTTTACAGCACAGGAAATGCTGTCTGTATCATCAAAGTATTTTTCAATAGAAGACTCCTTTCTGTCAATATTCACTTCATTCTGGTACCAGACATAGGAAAGAGGATCAGGTAGACGACAGCTGCTCTGACACGTCACCTTCTTCCAAGTAGGATACAAGGTTGGCCAAGTTTTTATCACTTGTGCCTGGAGAACTAAACATTATACACAGCAAAATATAAAATATACACAACATTCATAGCTTGTAGTGTCCCAAAGTTTAAGCAAAACTTTTTATTTTGAAAACATTTAAATATAAAAAGCTGACCTGTGACAGACAGAGTGACTCCAGGTGATCCAGTATATTTCCCTCCTGGTTGGTTTGTCACAAATCTGAACTTGTACTCAGCTGAGTCGCTCTCTCTCAGGTCTGTGATACTCAGAGTGCAGTCTTTGTTATCACAGTGATACTGAACACGACCTGCAAACTCTGCCTCTGTCCTCACATCCACAAATTCATCACCTTTCATTTTAGTAAACCACACAGCTTTTTCAACTACAGTCACGTTCCCATTCAGTCTGGATGGGTACGTGTAGGTGCAGCGTATGTCCACTGTTGATCCTTTTAAGGCACAAATCTGAGTAGAGGTGTAAGTCACTGACCAACCATCCTCACCCTGAACAGCTGAAACACATCAGAAACAAAACAATGAATTCTTCTGCTTTTAAAGGTGTGACCACACAGGAATTTCACCTGTGAGCCACGGGAGGCTGAACTGAAGAGAAAGGTTTCTGTGAGAAAAGAGATGTGACAGAAATAAATGAGAAAAGCAGAAACTGATGTGTGGAACTTTACATCTGATGGGAAAGTTTCTTAAAACATTGGTCAACCTGCATCTGAGCAGTTATTTATGATGCACTTGCGGGAAGAATTGTCAAACAGGAAAAGTGCTCTCGAAAAAAAACTGATGCTGAAACTAACTAAAAGCAGGTTACAGCTGAGTCAGTCAGAATAAGACCAAGCAGTCCCAGCGTGACTGCATTCACAGTTGTAAACTCAACACATTTAAAGTACTCATTGTGTAACTGAGGATACAAGCTCGCTATAAGAGAGGTCGAGACAATTTACGGTTCAAAATATTTAAAGAAATGTTTTACAGACTGCGTTCAGGTGGTTTATCAACATCATTAAAATGACACTTGGACCTTTGTGTGATTTTAGTGTAGCTTCATTGTTTAACTCAGTTTGTTTCTTTGTGTTGTGTCTGTGTGTTTTCTTGCTAATGTGACAAAATGGAGGCAGAGAAAACTTTAACAGAAACTATCTTCTCTTCAACTTTTGCATAAACAGAGCTGGAGCTTAAAATATTTAGAAAGTACTAAACTACAAATGTTCTATATTTCTGTGTATTTTCTTATAGTTGATCAAGAGTCTGTTATCAGTAATATATGAAAATGTAAATATAAAATACTGACAAAGTGAGAAGACAGATGATTGCAGCTTGTGCTCCTTTCAGTCTCATGGTTGGTGTCCTCCTCTCTTTGCTGTGGCTGCAGACAAGTTCAAACACATCAGCAGGTAAATGATATATACAAGAAATGATTTCTGATGTGTATCTGATGGTGCTGTCCACTATAGTTAGTGTGCACAGTTACTGTAAATGCCTAAAATGTGATCGGACTGCAGAATTTCTGCTTTGTAATCTCACTGTGTTCGAGATACAAACTTCTCAGTTTAACCTGCTGCTTCCTTCCTCTTTCTGACAACTAAAAGTGCTGCAATTTCATCATTTTACTTCTGCATATCCATCCAGTGACAAGAATAAACTGCCAAAGACAAACTGAAGTGGTCCGCACAGCCGAGACAAATATACCACCTCACACACACTATTATTACACATATGTGAAAATAATAAAACCCTATAGGGTACACGTGAAGTTTAGGTTCAATACAGTGCTTTAGGTTCGGCACGCATATGTATCGAACAATACAATTTTTAAAAATATTTTTTATCAACTTTTCTTCTAATGATGCTGTTTGTGTTGAGTGCTCAGTGGATCTGCATGCGACTACTCCGCCTAGGCTGCACTGTCAAGTGCAGATCCACTGAGCGCTACCTGAAATTGAACCTCCCCCACCCTCATTGAGATCTGGTGTTTGGAACTATTTCAGTCTTCATGTGAAGTATAACCCTGAAGGTAAGCGCGTCATGGACTAAAGTAAAACAGTATGTTGGATGTGCCACGCAATGCTCAATTGGTGGGAGCTAGTGCGTTAGCGCAGTTAGCTCGTTAACGTGTTGGCCATTTCTCTGTAATAAACTCTCTTTTCCAAAGATGAGTGATTCCTCAATCAGATATACTTTTTAAAAAAATTATTTTGCTGTTTCAGCAACATTAACTTTAAAAACTGTACTTTTCAGTTAACCCTTGTATGGTGTTCGGGTCTGTGAGACCCGTTTTCAGTTTTTTTCAAAAGAAAAATGAAACAATTAATTATTTTTTCAACCTGAAATTCATTGGCTTTGGCTTATTTTCTGTGAAGAACTTAAATCCGAACTAATTTTCAATGACCTCATACTGTACCTCCCCCATGCATTTACATTACATACAAGGTGTTCGGGTCCACTGGACCCAGGTCTAATAAAAGTGTTGAAAGTGTAGGTCCTGTGTTCCACACTCTGTCTTCCTCCTTTCTGGTGCTGCTGATAGTGTTTTCTTCCCCTCCTGCTCCGCACAAAGTTGCAACATTGTTGAAAATCAACTACGACACCATCTGCTCTTACATTCCCACACATTTTACCCTCTTTCTTGAGGGATCCAAATTTTATTTTCTCATACCGTGTCCCACCTGCAAATTAGGGGCATATACTATAAATAAGACTTTGCCAGTGTGGTTCTTTATCACAACTGATCAAGATGGCAAAAGATTATCTGCTGCGAGGGCCATCCAATTGATTTTGGAAGAGAGAGGGGCTTCGGATGACGATGTTGACAAAGAGGTTTCAGAATATTTCACATTTCTGAAAATTCAGAGTCTGACAGTGACTTTGAAGAAGAGGATGAGGTTGAGCACCATTTAGTAACAAAACGAAGACGAGTACCCCATCTGCAGCCAGCTCCAGGACCAGAACAAGCCCACCAGACAGCAGTGAAGAAATATGGATGTCAATAACTGGTGAAATTGAATGGTCTTCTTGCCCAAGAAATGAGCCACCCTGCAGAGCTGTTACTGTGATAAGCCAGGGCCAACACGGCTGACAGTTACTCATGTGCAGGACATCAAGTCTTCATTTTAGCTTTTCATCCCAGATTCCATCCAGAAAATTATTCTGGATTGCAGATCTAGAAGGAAGGTGTGTTTTTGGAGAGAGGTGGAAGGAGATGGACCAAATTTATCTAAGAAGCCCAAAGGCCTACTTTGGGGTTCTTATCCTTGCAGGAGTTTTCAGGTCCAAAGGGGAATCCACAGAATCCCTGTGGGATGCAGAAACCTTTCCGTGCATCAATGTCTCTGGAAAACTTCCACAAAATTTCCAGGATTATCCGTTTTGATAACCGAGACGACACACTAGCTCGACGGCAGAAAGACAAGCTAGCTGCTTGGACAGTGTGGGATAAGTGTGGGCACCGACTCCCCTGTTTTACAACCCTGGGCCTAATGTCACCATTGATGAGCAGCTGATCCCATTTAGTTGTGAAAAATATTGCGTCACGTGTAAATGTGTTGTGTCTTTCCACTCACTCCACTTGATTATAACTGATTTATTTTTTATAACATTTTATAAAAAAAACCCAAAAAACGAGAAGCACATTGATTCATAAATGTGATCTAACAAAGGTAAAGGGAAAAAATTAAACATGTTTGCTGTTCATTTGGCTTGTAATTGGGATGAAGTAAACATCTGTTGAGTAATTTAACATAAAATTGTTTGATAGCGTTAATTTGGAAAGCCAAAACTCTAGCGGGTCCACCAGACCCATGAACACAATTTTAATAAATGACAAATTGCAAAAGCATGAACATTTTTTTGTATCGATAAAATATCGAACCGTGATACCAAAGTATCGAACTGAACCGAACCGTAAATTTTGTGTAATGTTGCACCCCTATATATATATATACATATATATATATATATATACACTCAACAAAAATATAAACGCAACACCTTTGTTACTGCTCCCATTCCCCATGGGATGGATGTAGAGACCTAAAATTCATTCCAGATACACAATATAACCATCCCTCCCAGTGGTCACAAATCAGTCCAAATGTGTGGTAGTGGGCACATCTGCTATATTGAGATAATCCATCCCACCTCACAGGTGTGCCACATCAGGATGCTGATCTGACATCATGAGTAGTGCACAGGTGTACCTCAGACTGCCCACAACAAAAGGCCACCCTGGAATGTGCAGTTTTGTCTCACAGCAAAATGCCACAGATGCCACACGCAATGAGGGAGCGTGCAATTGGCATGCTGACAGCAGGAATGTCAACCAGATCTGTCGCCCGTGCATTGAATGTTCATTTCTCAACCATAAGCCGTCTCCACAGGCGTTTCAGAGAATATGGCAGCACATCCAACCGGCCTCACAACCGCAGACCTCGTGTAACCACACCAGACCAGGACCTCCACATCCACCAGGTTCACCTCCAAGATCGTCTGAGACCAGCCACCCAGACAGCTGCTGGAACAATTGGTTTGCACAACCAAACAATTTCTGCACAAACTGTCAGAAACCGTCTCAGGGACGCTCAACTGCATGCCCGTCGTCCTCATCGGGGTCTTGACCTGACTCCAGCTCGTCGCCGTAACAGACTTGTGTGGGCAAATGCTCACATTCGATGGCGTCTGGCACGTTGGAGAGGTGTGCGCTTCACGGATGAATCATGGTTCACATTGTTCAGGGCAGATGGCAGCTGAGAATGTCCCAGTTCTTGCATGGCCAGCATACTCACCGGACATGTCACCCATTGAGCATGTTCGGGATGTGCTTGACCGGCGTATACGACAGCGTGTACCAGTTCCCACGAATATCCAACAACCTCACACAGCCATTGAAGTGGAGTGGACCAACATTCCACAGGCCACAATTGACAATCTGATAGACTCCATGCGACGATGTGTTGCACTGCATGAGGCAAATGGTGGTCACACCAGATACTGACCGGTTCTGGGTCCCCAGACCCCCAATAGCGCAAAAAACTGCACATTCCAGGGTGGCCTTTTGTTGTGGGCAGTCTGAGGTACACCTGTGCACTACTCATGATGTCAGATCAGCATCCTGATGTGGCACACCTGTGAGGTGGGATGGATTATTCAATATGGCAGATGTGCCCACTACCACACATTTGGACTGATTTGTGACCACTGTTTGGGAGGGATGGTTATATTGTGTATCTGGAATGAATTTTAGGTCTCTACGTCCATCCGAATGGGGAATGGGAGCAGTAACAAAGGTGTTGCGTTTATATTTTTGTTGAGTGTATGACCGGAGAATGACCGAGCTAAGATCCTGTGGGACTTCCAGATACAGACGGACAAAATGGTGGTGGCT